GGCACTGGGGGGCTGGCAGGGGCAATGGGGGGCACTGGGGGGCACGGAGGGGCACTGGGGGGCTGGCAGGGGCAATGGGGGGCACTGGGGGGCCACGGGGGCGTCAGGAGGGGCTGAGGGGGGCACTGGGAGGGGCAATGGGGGGGTCTGGGGGCTCTGGAAGGGGGCACAAGGGGGCAATGAGGGGGCTGGGGGGGTGTTGGGAGGGGCTGAGTGGGCAATGGGAGGGGCCTGGGAGGGGCAGGGGGGGGTCTGAGGGGACCGGGGGTGTCAGGGGGGTCTGGGAGGGGGCAGTGGGGGTTCCTGGGGGGCTCAGGGGGATCTGGGGTAGGGAAATAGGGGGATCCTGAGGGGAGCTGGGCAGATCTGGGGGCATCAGCGGGGCTCTGGGAGGGGGCACTGGGGGCTTGGAGGGGTCTGGGGGGTCTGGGAGAGGGTAATGGGGGGGCCCTGGGGGGGTCTGGGAAGGGCAATGGGGGGTCCTGAGGGGACTGGGGGTTGTCAGGGGGGTCTGGAGGAGGTAATGGGGGGGTCTTGGGTGGTCTGGGGGGGCTGAGCAGGGCAATGGAGGGGTCAGGGGGCCGGGGGGCAATGGGGGGTGGGGGGGTCCTGCCCCCCCTTTCAGGGGCACAGGGAGCAGCAGCACGGTGGGGTGTGTCCAGGGCGTGTCCCCCTGGTGTCCCCTGACCCCCACCGTGTCCCCTGCCCCCTGTGACCCCCCCTGTGACCCCCCCACGTGCCCCCCCAGCCTGGCCTGTTGCTGCCACTCCTTCCACTACGTCAAGCGGCTGCTGGAGACGCTCTTCGTGCACCGGTTCTCGCACGGAACGATGCCCCTGCGCAACATCTTCAAGGTGCCACCGGGCCCTCTGGCACCTCCCTGCCCCTCTGGCACCTCCCTGGCCCCTCTGGGTCACCCCTGTCACCCCCCATCCCCTCCCTGTCCCCTCCAGCTCTCTCACGGCTCGATGCCCCCGTGCAACATCTTCAAGGTGCCACCGGGCCCTCTGTCACCTCCCTGGTCCCTCTGTCACCTCCCTGCCCCTCTGTCACCTTCCCAGCCCCTCTGTCACCTCTCTGGCCCCTCTGTCACCTCCCTGCCCCTCTGGCTCCTCTGGCACCTCCCTGGCCCCTCTGGCCCCTCTGTCACCTCCCTGGCTCCTTTGGCACCTCTGGCACCTCCCTGTCCCCCAGAGTCACCCCTGTCACCCCCCATCCCCTCCCTGTCCCCTCCAGCTCTCCCACGGCACGGTGCCCCTGTGCAACATCTTCAAGGTGCCACCGGGCCCTCTGTCACCTCCCTGTCACCTCCCTGTCACCCCCGGGCCACTGCAGCCCCCCCCAAGTCACCCCCGTCCCCTCCCTGTCCCCACCGGTGCTGTCATGGCACCATGACCCAGTGTAACATCTTCAAGGTGGCATTGCCACCTCTGTCACCCCCCTGGCACCTCCCTGTCGCTCCACGTCACCCCTGGGTCACCGTGTCCCCCGGGTCACCCCCTGTCACCCCCCATCCCCTCCCTGTCCCCACAACTTCTCAGGTGACACCGGGACCCTGCACGACGCCTTCGGGGTCACGCTGTCACCTCTGGCCCCTCTGTCACCTCCCTGTCCCCTGGGGTCCCCACGTCCCCTCTGTGTCCCCTCTGTCACCTCCCTGTCCCCCGGGGTCCCCACGTCCCCTCTGTGTCCCCTCTGTGTCCCCTCGGCCCCCACCTGCACCCCAGGTGTCCCTCCCCCGGTGCCAGGGTGTCCCCAGCGTGTCCCCAACGTCCCCAACGTGTCCCTCATGTCCCCAACGTGTCCCCAGAACTGCACCTACTACTGGGGCTTCGCTGCCTGGATGGCCTATTACATCAACCACCCGCTCTACACCCCGCCAGGTGAGTCACCACCTGCCACCCTCCTGTCCCCAGGAGTGTCACCTGCCCTGTCACCTCCCTGTCCCCACCACTGTCACCTGCCTGTCCCCACCACTGTCACCTGCCTGTCCCCACCACTGTCACCCGCCCTGTCACCTCCCTGTCCCCACCCTGCCACCTGCCTGTCCCCAGTGCTGTCAACCCCCTGTCCCCAGCACTGTCCCCTGCCCTGTCACCTCCCTGTCCCCACCACTGCCACCTCCGTCCCCAGCACTGCCACCTGCCTGTCCCCAGCACTGTCATCTGCCTGTCCCCAGGGGTGTCACCCACCCTGCCACCTGCCTGTCCCCACCACTGCCACCTGCCTGTCCCCAGCGCTGTCACCTGCCCTGGTCCTGTCACTTGCCTGTCCCCACCACTGCCACCCGCCTGTCCCCAGCACTGTCACCTGCCCTGCCACCTGCCTGTCCCCACCACTGCCACCCACCCTGCCACCGGGGTGTCCCCACCACTGCCACCTCCCTGTCCCCACCACTGTCACCCACCCTGCCACCCGCCTGTCCCCAGCGCTGTCACCTGCCCTGTCACCTCCCTGTCCCCAGCACTGTCACCTCCCTGTCCCCACCACTGCCACCTCCCTGTCCCCAGCACTGCCACCTCCCTGTCCCCACCACTGTCACCTCCCTGTCCCCAGCACTGTCACCTGCCTGTCTCCACCACTGTCACCCTCCCTGCCACCTCCCTGTCCCCAGCACTGTCACCTGCCTTGGCCCTGTCACCTCTGTGTTCCCGTGAGTGTCACCTGGCCCTGTCACCTGGGTGTCCCCAGGAGTGTCACCTGGCCCCATCCCTGTCACCTCTGTGTCCCCAATGTGTCCCCAATGTCCCCATCACACCAGCCCCCCCTGCCCCCTGTCCTCGTCACCTCTGTGTCCCCAGTGTCCCCATCACATCTCCCCTTCCCTGTGTCCCCCATGTCCCTCCATGTCCCCCTGGGGACACCGAGGGGGGGTGTCACTGTCCCTACCCCCCTCGTGTCCCCCAGGGGGGGGTGTCACTGTCCCTGACCCCCCCGTGTCCCCTGTGTCCCCCCAGCCTACGGTGACGAGCAGGT